TTCATACACGCAATAACTTAACGTCTTAATAAGTCCATAATTTTGGAGTCCTTGCTGAACTGTTTGTTAATGATATGAACTTCAACTTGATAGTCCGAATGTAAAATAATACATTTGTTTGTTAAATAATCATCCCAGATTTTGTGAGATAATGTGATTGGACAAAAAATGCTTTATAAGTTATGTATATTAAGCATTCTGTGAGACCCATAGAACCAATGTGTAGCCTAAATAGCCCCCTAACCTAACGAACCAGAAGCATCTGTAAAAAGATGGATTGCCTCATTTGTTCTGGTTCAGAAAGATATGTTTACCATTAAAATTTTCAATGATAAGGTGCCAAGCTGCTAGGTCACGACGTGCCTCTCTTAATAAGGTAGTTCTATGAAAGGGTCCGACCGCATTCCTAGTTAAAACAATGAGTCTTCTTAAAAAGGCTTCACCCGGTAAAACTACTTCGCAGCAAAAGTTGAGAAGACCTATGAGGGGACTGTTATTTGCGTACCTTGATTTTTCGTCGCGATTTAAAAAATGCTAGGTCACGAATTTTATTAAGCTTTTCTTCAGGTAACCTTGCTTCCAATTGAACATATCCAGCAAACACATGACGTTGAATCAACGTTGCTCAGACATTAGAGTCCGACGTTGGATGGGCATTGGAATTTAGTTGTATATGAAAGTTTTTTAGACGTCAGAATCCGACATCAATCCAATGTCATAAATGACAGAAATACAACCTCTATTTAATATATATACAAATACTTTCCATCTTATTCCCAACGTGAATCCAACCAGTTTCAAACATGATTGCAAAACAGTACCATTTTAATGTGCAAATTCAATAAGACATTTCCGTAATTATTTTACTTTTTATATTTTAACAGTTAACAACAAATACAAAAAAATGTATCACCTTTGATGTAATATTCATTCTTTTATGTCCAAATGTGCTTTTTGTTGACTGTTTTTCATGTATATGATATATTGTTACACAGTGAAAATTATTTATAATCACAAATTTCCTTTTATTTACTAAGATTGCTCTCAAAAAATATCGTTAAAGGAAAATTGTTTCCAATAACAAACTCAAATAGTAGGAAAGTTATAATCTATAACTCATTCTTTTTATCATTATCATTATGATTATTTTATTTTTGTTATAATCATGACGTATTAAAATGTCTGATCACAGTGATATATTCAATAAAATTTATAAAAGATATATCGTAGAATGATTTTCATTCTGCTCCTTACACTTGTAAAATCATTAATTAAAATAACGATAAGACTTTTTCATTCATTTAATGAAAGTAACAATTAATACTAGATACTGCATGTTTTATGTTGTATAAATGTATATTATTACCTTAAATATCATGTATCATGAAATATAAAAATACTTCTTACATGTAAAGCGAAGACAGAAACGAAAATCATTTCATATTGGAACAAAAGGAGGTGCTTTACAAAACAACAACATCTTAGGAATTATTTACTAATGATTTTCCGATAATGTAAATTAGTCAATGACCTGGTATGTAATACGAAGTTACAATAATCATTAATGTTTAAGCATGCATAATGTAATTAGCGTTTTGCGATTTTTTATCTTTCAGAAGTCAACGGGATCGAGATTTATAAGTGATGAGTGTGGAATATACAGTTATTATCAGAATTACACAGAAATACATAAAGATATTTGAAAAAAGTAATGTACGTGTAGTCATTTACTAAAAATAATTTGGTTAGTCGACAATGAGAACATAATTAAATTAAGAAAAACTTATATTTACATATATTGTTAATAACTCAATGAATATAAACGTTATAATAATAATGCACTAATTTATGCGTCCACAAAATTATCTAATTAACATAATTCCACCCCACATATGTCAAAATAAAAATATAGTAGGACCAGATAATACACAGACTTGCAATACGCGTGTCAAAAAAAAACAACAACATGACATTGCGCACATTGGAGCTATAATTGATAACGAGCCCTCTAATATGTAAAAACATGAAAATTCTTTATGGAAAAATAAAATTAGAATGAATTGCTTTTTCACATATAATGATTATGAATGATAGTTGAATAAAGATTGGAATTGTAATAAAATTCGAAGCACTCATTTATTTATGGACTTCCTAGATAGAAAGACATTCTGCTGACTTATGATACGTCGTTTTAGTAAAATCTACATATATATTTCAGAAAGAGGCAAATTATAGCATGATATATGCATATTGCGTCACATAGCTTTATAATGGCTATAATGGCTATTCTATCTTTGAATAAAATATCTGTTCTGTTCTGTTTGAATTAGACACGTAAAAGTGTAAAATACAATAAATTTGATAAACACGAGAAGGATGAACAGGCGCAAATTTGAATAATTCAGCGTTCCAACATATGCTGGTAATGTGGCTGTTCATTTTAATAATTTCGTGAGCACATGATCAATAAAAACGCACACATGTCGACTCTCTGCCATATACATATATTCGTTAAATTTTTACATTTATTTAATTCAGTCGAGAGAAAGTCAACTACTGTGAAATTTAATTTCATCAGAAAAATCGACAAATTTTACAAGTGACAAAATATCTTACAAACTGTCAGAATATTTAATGTCATCATTACGGCTGCCACACGGCACTTGACACCTGCTGTTGTGAAGTGAAACCTTTCATTTATGCGTATCCTGGGTATTTAGAACAAGCGAAGTTTAACAATAGATATTATATTAATAAATTCATGATGCATGTAAGGTAAATAGGGTAAGCGACGGTTGATGGTTAAGTTGAGTTTGTACCACTCTTATATTTTGAAACTCGTTGTTTCGTGTATGTGTGTGTGTGTTTGAGTGTGTGCGCGTTTAAAATTATTTATACTCGCGATCGGATACCCATATGAGCGAGGCCCCCAGAAGAGTCTTAGTCATTAAAGATTATAAAAATCCCCCAATTTTAAATGATTTTCCTGGTTCTTTAACGTGCCTAGTGTTTAAACTCTCATATAATGGACCTCGATTTAAATTCTCATCCGAAAGACTGATTAGAAAGTTTAGTGTACCAGCCCGGGAATCGAACCCACAATGTCGAGATTTTTTTCACTCTAGTTTGTACTTTTATTGTTTGCTCTTGTGTGTCCGTGATCATCTAATCAATCTGTTTTAAAACAATTATACATGAATGATATTGGATCAACGGATTGTTAAACGGGTTGCTCTGTTACACGGTTAAAGTTCTATTTGTATATCAAATGTCTTTAATGAATGTAAAAACGGCGAAACATACAGTCATGTATTTCTTCAGCTATTTCTTGCGGAGGGTCCATCAACAACTTTCTGTCAATAGATGTAACGGCTGATTACAATCTTGACACTTCTTATCGCCCGCGAATGAATGACCTTACAGTCTAGCATGATTTACATATGAACAGAAAAGATACACTCTAGACAACCTGAATATAGACCTGAAGTTTCCATTATTATCAAAATGCTTAACTTTTCCTACTTAATATTAATCTGAAATATTTTTCAAGTATCAGAAAATCTTAACAGTTACTGATCTTACTAACAATGTGGTGTATAAAAACTATCATTTTAGAAAATCTACAAAAAAAAACAGATCTTGATAGAAAATAAGTCTAATTATCTGTGATTCTTTTTCATTTAATGTTTATATAAGATGCTATTTATCTCATAGCGACTTGTTTTGTATACTGAGTAAATAATAGCATTTTTAAAGATAGAACTTCAGAGTGAAAATCTAATCATAAATACATAACCCCTGCAATATGTACTTCTTAAAGGTCCAATATGCATCAGACATGCTACTATTTTTATCTTAAAAACTTTTTTTTAGTTTTTGGTATCTTGTTAAAACTCATTTGCCATATATCTAGGCTATCTGCAACTATGTGTATGTCTTTTTGTTACACCACTCTATCATTGAAATATTCTTCTGTTGGTGGACAGAAAGCACGGTCAGCGCGGTATTCGTATAATTATGTGTGTAATAAAATCTGGAACGAATTTAGCGGGCTTCATCGCTATCTCACCGTCATGGAAGAATTGATGTTAAGCAGTACAATTTGTACATTTGTAAGAATTTTGAAGAGTGTTATTGTTTTATAATCAAAAGGATTGCACTTAAACTGAGCAAAAGCTAGGTTATGCGATCACCAGATGCAAATTTAAGGTATTTATTTAAGGTATTTATTTTATTTTTTTTCAGTTCAGAATCAGAAATATGTATCAATGCCATGTAGTGATTGTTTATATAATTTAGAATATAATGTGAAAATCTTTAAGGGATGGCGGTTGATAAGTTGACTTCTTATGAAATTATTGTTCCATATACATGAACATTGCACATCAATTTTTCGTGAAGGAAGAAATGAAAAATGAACAGAAATCGGTATTTGTTCCTATCTTTTAAAGAACATAATTAACTAACTTTTTCTTTATCTTTGCACATTGTTAGAAAATCATTATAATTCATTTAGATACAAAAAAATGATATAAACATATGGATGAAATGATTGAAACGATATTATTCGAACATTTATAATAAAAATATCTAAATACATAGTGTCTTGTATCTATCTATAAGATGACATGTGAAGAAAAAATAAGTGAGAACCCTGAAACTTTATATCTTATATGCCTTGTTGAAATTAATACAAACTGCAGACACTTGTAAAATAATACACAGGAGGTCATGAACTTCGACTAACCGATACAGTCCTAAGCATTAACCCTTTAAGGTAAGACCTGGGTAATGGGCAATAACATGAACCTAAAATTGCACATTATATTATTGTTTTGTATCATTATGTACATCAAAATATAAAATATTAAAAGAATTTACCGTGTTGTTTTATAGCTACAAGTGTTTTTGAAAATACCCCGTTTCAATAATTTGGCGGCAAAATTGCCATTGTCATATTTTGCTAAATATTTGTTTTTTTCCTAAAAAAAGAACAACACAATATGTTTCAGCATGTTTTTTTATTCATCTGTATATGTACTGTACCCAAAAACAACAATTCATGAATAATAAAAAGGTTTAAGAAAATATTACCAAAAATGTGAAACAGATTTGGTTCAAAAAGTCGCATTTCAGAATTTTGTTATTTTCCCCTTATTTTTTCAAAGTTCAAAATTTTTACATGAAAGTGCCTGTAACTATGCAAATTTGGCACCAAAATTGTTCTGAATGTGTGAGCAATAACATATGTTAAAATTAGAAACTTTTACCGTCTAGTTTCTTTTAGACAAGAACACAAACAAGATGACCCCCTTGAATTTTGATAGCCATATTTTCATGAAAAATGCTTAAAATGTCTTAAACATACAATTTGCATTTGATTCTTGCTATACAAATAAATCAAATGAATAATGTTTTACAAATAAATGAAGAAAACTTAGTTTTCAGTTATTACATAAGAAGAGTTAGGATAAAAATTATCCAGAATTATCATACATGACTTATTATTTGCCATCGAAGTATGACACTAACTTTGGAATAACGGATTCCAAAACTCTCTTAGAATTGGTCACTCTTGGCAACCCTTCACTATTTTTCATAGTAAACACATTATACAGTCCATCCTCTCCCTTACGTTGAAAAATTGTTTGTAAATGTTTAAAGTTTAACCCCGAACTTGCAACATTATCTGCAGTTGAAGATTTCATGACGCCACTTGCAATCAAAATAGACAAGGATGGCAAGTTTTTATGTTTCTCTTTGTTTGAATCCATATTGTATTTCACATCACTAGGAGAGAAACTCTTGACTGTAATACACTTATCATCCTGTTTCAAAGCATAAATGACCAGCTCGGACAAACAATCAACATCACACAGTGCGTTATGAGCGTTATACACCTTGGAGAGCAATGAACGGGCTAGGTCCTCCTGCTTGTAAGACTCACGTTTAGGAGAGATAGATTTAAACACGTGAAGACTGTCTACCAATCCCAACACACATGAACTAAACTTATTAAACATTCCACTAGCTTGACAGGCATTTACGACGATTGGGAAGTCAAAGCGTTTTCCATTATGAGCAATCAGAAAAACATAGCGAAACTGATTCAGCCAGATAAGAAAATCTCTGAGAGCTGTTTGTATAGTTTTTGTTTCCACAGGAACACCATCTACGCACATATCTATACTATTTGTTACAATAATTTTAGTCACTCGCTCTGCTGATGCGCTCATAGGTAGTTTTGGTAGCACATAGCAGTTGAAGCTGTTCTCGGTTCCAACATGTTTGGCTGCTATCTGTGTAATATGGGGGTAAACATCTCCTCGAACTGGAAAATAAAAATGGTACTGGAGTAAATAACTGAATAAAAGTTATACAAGACAATAGTATTATAGTGATTTATAACATGCTTTGCAGTGGAAAATGAAATTATATTAGATAATTTTCACAGTGAAATCATAAAATATATTTTTCACTGTAGACAGACTATATTCGAATGACGGTGAAAAGAATATTCATATATCTAAGTGGAATAAATTCCGCTCAATGTAAAATTTGTTTCTTAGAAGCAAGTAAATATCTGCATACAGAATTTAAATTTTACAGAGCTATGTTTCAACATTTATACTTTGACATTATGATGTGACTTTACGCGGCAAAATCAGCAAGAATTGACTAATTTGAAAAAAATAGATTTTGTTTTGTACGCAATATTGAAATATATTTAACTCTGGTGAATACCAGCTATAATATTTTATATAAAATAAATGTATCTGGGTTTCACTCAGTGACAATATCTTAATCTTGCATGCTAAAAAACCCAAATAGCCTCTATATAATAATTATACCATCATAAAGCACTTTTTGATTTATAAATGTTGTATTGGATCATCATTTTACATCTATAAACATGCAGAGGAGTAATACAAAAGGTAAGTAATGTCTACATGAAAAGTACTTACTAAGGTCTGTTGTTTCAAGATCCACAGTGATATAAGAGGGTTCGCCACTTGAACAAACTGGCTTGAACACTCCACGTGGTATAGGATCGGGGACTTTGTCTATGTCTATGTCAGCTGTGTGGCCAACTTCTGTACAAATGTAAACCAAAAAAAATGAAAAGAAATGGAATTATAACAAAGAGCAGTTGTTTATAAACATATCATGTCACAATAAAAAAATAATGAGAGCCACGTTGAAACAAACACATGGATTTATACAGTCATTACAATTTGTTTTACTGAAAACACAGGTATATCAAGATGACTGGAAACTAACCTGACTGATATGTTGCCCCTTCGAGTGACTCTGTAGCTGACTGGTTGACAGCACGCTCTTTTTTCAAAAACAGGCGCCTTCCCTTTGTTGATGGCTTAGCAAAGGTTTCCTGACATTTCTGGCGTTTGATGGCACAATGCTGTGCATACTTTTGTGTGTAGTGACCAGGTGACAAATCAGCTTGTTTGTTTACCTGCGAAGAATTTTAAAAACATATGCATTTTCATTGCTAAACTTATTTACAAAACAAACAGCAACATAAATCATGAAGTAAATTGTTAAAAAGACAAAAATAAGATATATAAATATTATGAAAGATTAAAGTGTACACATAGATAGTCAATTGTCATAGAATTAATTTAAAGACAAATTTTGTTGATGGTATAAATGCAAAATGTAAATATGCTAAATTGCAAAATGTGAATATTGAAATTGTAAGATAAAATAAAAAACAAAAAAACTTTACTTCATCTTAAAGATTGCTATTTATGTACTTACTTGTAGCTGGTGTAGAAAATCAAACATTGAAACCAAACTGCAAAACATTGTAACTAAAAATCAAAAGAACAATGAAACTGTAAAAGAGTTGAAATACATATAACTTATAGATTACAGCACTTGGACCATAAATCAAAACATTACAAAACAGTTCACAAAACTGTTCCTCGGTTACTGTAGTCTATAACCTCTTTGATAAAGAAACTTTAACAAGTTGGATAAATTCTTAGCTTGGCAATCAAAGTAAACTGAAGTAAAATGATGACTGTTTATAAAATAATTGCATATTTCAAAAATGGATATAATTCTATTGAACATTTGCCAAGGTAAGATTTATTGAAAATTGTAAAACAAACTCATTATAAAGCATAACAAACATTTGAACAACTTTCCAACTGTTTATACCTCTACTATGTAGTTTCTTCCTTCGTTTATAAATGCTGCAGTTGCTTGAACTCGAACATCTAATGCCTCACTCCCTCCATAGTAAATGTTCTTTGGAGCCTTTAAGGACACTTCTCGGTTGGCATGTTCACATTGCTGGCTTGACCCTAGGTTCACTAGTTGGCTGGCTTTGGCAATAAAAGGTTTCATAATGTCGTCTAACCGTTGCTTTAACATCTCACCAGTCAAACTTGATTTGTATGGTAAAGAACGGTGGATATAGGATACATCTTTATTCCTAAGATAACCACAAAACCTTGGCTGACACAACTGGTGATCCCCAAAGTTATGGGGAATAATTGCCTTAAGGTTTTCTTGTAATCCATTCAAGTCCCCACAGTTCTTAGAAAGGGCATATGACACACACTTTTGTAAATGGCTTATAGTTATCTTACTGATTTTGATTTCCTTCTCATTTTGTAAACCATAAAAGCTTTTGCCTTAATTTTTTATCACATGGTTTTTATCATATCTCTTTTTCAAACTGATATTGTGCTTGCTTTTAAGTCTGGCTAATAAAGTGTTGTCGCCATCACCTTCAAGAATTTCAACTGGTGTACCTGCTTTTGCTAAAGCCAGTACAGCTTTCTCTCCACTCTCACTCTCCATGGGAACGGGCACTTCCAAAGTGGTTTCGTACACATCGGTGTTGTCGTATTTGCTGACCAGGGCGATGACGTCTCCAACCAATTGCATGTTGAACATTGTCTGTGGCATATGACACTCTTCAGAACCTTCTTCCCCATCTTTGACGAACTCATTAAAAATGTATGAGCTGAAATTTTAACATTAGCACCTAACTGAAAATTCCGTAAAAAATTACATCATTTAAGTACTTTCTTAATATTGATTGTAAAAATATAGTCAGACAGACAGTTGGGTATCGGATGCTGTAACATAACACATATTTTTGGGTGTAAGAGAGAACTTTCCCTGTTTCATCATTACAACTTGTCAAGTATTTATTTTCAAACTAAGTCAGATATATTAATTTCTAAAATTATAATTATCATATAGAACCAACAAACTTACTCCTAATTTATTCATTGTGTGCTAAATTTGGTAAGATAAGTCACAATTAATTTATAAAATAAGTGATATTTAATTATAACAGGGTAATATTTCATAGAAGAAGCAATAAAAGTCACAAAACTAACAAAAAAACCCAGCTTACATGTAAGCTGCTGTCAAAGCCACGCTTTTGCCAAGCTGTATCAGCAGAGCAGGACATACCATACCGATTCTTTTTGATGGCTGTTTTTCTACATGTATTATGGTCAAACAGTTTACACTTTCTTTTATGCTGTCTCGGTGGTGAGGGAGATGCCTTTTCAGGGCACTCTGTTTCATTACTTGTTGATACAAATGCAGTTTGTAAGACAGACCTGAAATATTCTAAAACTGTTAGAAATATCTACATTATTCATTGGATTAAAAAAGTATATGTAACTGAAATATTTTAATTTAAAATTGATATTATGGCCTAAACATCAGCAAATTTTGAGAGCCGAAAGTGTAGTGTTTTTCGGATAAATGTCAATTCGAGTATGTACATATCTTTAACTTAAGCTCATATTTTCTCCACCACAATACAAACGCAATGATATATACAATTATATATTTTTATTATAAAAATTTTGCTGATGACATAAATGAATAAAATTTATTGAACAAGAAAAACTTATGTTAACAATATCCATGTATTTCAAGTGTATGTTAACACAACATTACATTTTTGGTGTTACTGTCACGCAAAAAGGTTGGAATTTATTTTTCGCTTGAAAAAACAATTTGTCTATTATTCTATTAAAACCAGGACAAGCCCTGTAAAACAGCTTATGATATATAATATACATAACATACAAAATACATGAAACTTTCCATTCAATGTTACAATAAAAACTGTTAAACAGTTAACTTACTTGGTTGCTGGTGATGCATCTGGTAATGGTGCCACACCCAGATCTTCTATGAGACAATCCATTCTAGCTTCTGCCTCTATGGATTCTTCTTGGGAAATTTCACTTTAAAAATATATTCGAAACTGTCAGTGTGTATATATTGTTGTGTGTGTATATGAATATATATATTTTTTTTGGGTTCTATGAAAGAAATTACAAAAGCACAATGTCAAGAGATGCCTCAATAACTTTAACATAAATTAAAAAGAATTGTTTTCCATAAGATCTTCAAGAAATGTTTTTGACAATTGCAGTTTTACATCAAATGTTTGGATAAAATGTTTGTGAGAGAAAATTATACAAATTAATAAACACAGAATCTAAGTTACCTCATTTCCTTCTGAAATGTGTTTTTGGCAGCTGTATCTATAGACTGCTTGGCAACAGACTCTACCAATCTTCCAGCACGCCTTTCCATATCCTGCAAACTCTTTCTATTTACTGGGACAATGTTTAGGGTGGAGAGCATGTTGTTCACTTTCCCGGAACCACCAATGCTATCTATCATGGCTAAATTAAAAGAGAAAATCTGGAATTAATCTTTTGTTTTTCATGTTCATTTTTTGTGGAAAATATTAAACTTTTTTCTATTTAAAACAGTTTTGATAGCTTGTATAAAAATAAATACTAGCCTTGGACCCCACTGTATCAATTTACTAACTGTTTACCAATAAATTAAATAATAGGCTAGCATAATAGGTAGTTTCTAATGAATGACTTTGACCTAGTTATTAATGTAAATGTCTGTCAGTTAGATTTGTTTGTTTTGAGTTTTACGTCACATTGACACAGTATACTCAACATTACTAATTCCGCGTCATCATTTATCTCACGGTAATGGCATATTTTCATGTGACCATTGTTATAATTGGTCAGAATTTACATATTTTATTCAAACACCTTAACAACAAAGATTTTGTGCAAAATAATTTAAATCTATAGATTTTTACATAAAACTGAACAACATTTTACAAATTTCTGCAAAAAACAACAATAGTCCATTAAATTTTGCATACGTCTGAAACAGTCATCATTTTCTAAATGTTCTTGTTTGTTGAAAAAATAAATTTTGAGTTACAATGTAAAAATACTTTTAATATTTATAATAATGCAAAATAACTTAAAGAAATTTTAACTGAAACATGAAAAACTGAAATAAAACACCATTACCGCGAGGTAAATGATGACATACTGTTTCCAAAATGGCCGACACACGGTTTACATCTGACAAATTAAAACTAATTTTGATTGAATATATTGTTGTTTCCTTGTGTCATATAGCAGAAAAATGACTAAATGATACAGTTTATGACAGTTTTTGTAGTGTTAGTTTATTGTTTGTGTTCTTTACTGTTTTAAAGTGTTAAGTACCGTGAACTAAGAGGAGCACATTATATAGGTCATATCGCGACGTTCCAGCTTTACTGGGGGAGGAAGACCTCAGGTACCCTTCCCCGTCAGTTAGAGCTCTGACTGCAAAATCTTGAGATTTAAAAATTAAATGATACAATGAATAGAACAATATAAGAATTTGGGACTCTACTGGTACAGCAAATATTTTTGACCAGATTGCTGAATTTTGTTACTCATTTATTTATATATAAAAACGTCCTAATTCTAAGATGAAAACCAGAAGATACTGATAAACTTTACCGACACCAAGCTTTGTATTTGCTGTGAAGCAAGCATGCCTCTATCTTTCAATCTATGTGTCTTGCCATATGGGACAACGTTCACATGTTCACAGTCCATGTTGCTGCATCTGACGTAAAGAAAACCCGATAACCCTTTCCTTAACTCACCAACAAGAGAATATTTTGTTAAGGCTACTGGTCCTAGCTTACATTTCACACAGTATTCTAATTTATCTAAGAGAACGCCCAGCTCCACAATCCGCCGTCCAACTCTCCACCCATCTCTGTCAACATTTCCAGGCAAATTCACGTTTGTATCACTTTGTCTGCACTTAGTTAAACTCGAATCTAATGAAGAACTTTCTTCCGAATAATAATTATGATCATTACAAGTTGATCGTGATCTTTTGCACTTGTTCTTCGTTAATTTCTTCGCCGTGAACCGGCCTTTTGTATCTCGCAACGCCATTTTGAAATGCCAGGATGTAACAGTGTAGTTCCCGGTGCTCGATTAAATTTTTAATTCCAATGCAGGGAACCATGTTCGGAATAACGGAAAAGTCCGATATATACCGGAAAATGACGGTAAATGTCGAAATAACACGAATTAACCGGAAATGTATTACCCAGGTCTTACCTTAATTAAAGAGGTAACACTTTCTATATTTTTTTTTATCTGATATCGAGTTGTAAGAGCCGATTTGCAGTTATATGGGTAAGAGTTCGATAAGACTCCCTACTGTCGTCTTAATACGAACTCTTACCCATACTAATTGGCCCTCTGTATTCTTATCTAATGGCCCTAACATCAGAATCAAATTTCTGTAGAAATTTATCAATGTTTTTTTCTCCTTTCTTTTTTAACCGGGTCTTCGGCTTAATTGAATTGTGAAACTTAGCAATTATTTGTAAATATACTTTATAACACACGATAATTTTTTTAAATTTATAATAAATAAAATTCAATAGTTAAAGGTCAAGGTCACACTTATATCTTGCAGGTTCATGCTATCACATTTAGATATTACAGGTACAATAATTCAAAGAACAATATGAAGCAATATGTTACTTTCATTATAATACCTGCATGCTTGAAACCTTTTTAGGGGCATTCGCCCCTTGGGTGACAGCTCTTGTTATTTCTTAAGGTAACGGTTTCAAATATATATTCCTTATCATCATCCACATTATTTGATAAGAAGCAAAACTCTAAAACCACAATATTTCCAGAACTCTATACCCTAGAACATATAATTTTCCTTGAAATAATGTTATATTTTACTCTAACATCTTCATTTCATATTAAAGGATTGACATTAAACTTCAAACATAGTTTCCATATCATCAACTACATATACATTATAAAAAATTATTTGACAATGTTTTAACACCAATGTTTCCATAATTATCTCCCCATGAACTTATTTTTTCTCTTAAAAAATGTTACTTTTCACTTAACTTTTTTTTATTTCTGAAGGTATCTACTTCTTACTTTTAATTTATGTACTTTATCATGTGCGATAAGATTCAAAACTATAGCATGACTATTTTCAGAAGTATTCTCACCCCGCCTTGAACTCTTTCAATTAATGTGATATCATCCAGATTTAAACTATACATTCTTGAAACATGATAGGCTCATAAAACATTCAATGGCGCTGCTATCAGTGATACAGTGACAAGCCGTGTAATTACGATTAAATGCTCATCACTGACCAGAGATAGTAATTTTTTTTTGGGGGGGGGGTTGTTTGTTTGTTTGTTTAGATTTTACGGCACGTCAACACATAAATGGCCATATCGT